ACTATGGGCCTGGTAGCAGTTGGACACTCCCTGCCTCCCAGTGGTATCACTGAGATCAAACTCCATACTAACATGTTCATGTTCAGAGCCAGCCTGGACTTCAAGCTCATCTTTTTGGACATGAGGTAGGAGACATGTTGAGAAGGTGGGTAGATAAAGGAAAACCATGACATTATGATATTCTGTCACCTGTTAAAACTCATCGTCACAATAAATGAGCAACATAAAGATAAATCTAGTAATAAGGATTAACGCAGGTGTAATACATTAAGCAATTAAAACGATATTCACTTTAAAAAAATCTTGGTATATAAGCTTAACAAAAAGCTATTTTCGAACATTTTAGGGCTGTTAAATGAACATTATGATTCACTTCCAAATATGAATGTTCAACTCAGCCCTGACCTGTTATTCTTTCCTGGGGAGTCAGGGTGGCAGAGCTGACAGGCTACGAGCCTCAGGACCTGATAGACAAGACGCTTTACCACCACGTTCATGCCTGTGACATTTTCCATCTACGATACGCTCATCATTTATGTAAGTTTAGATATTTTCAGTGATATTTATGGTGGAGGATGGAGTGACTTATGTGTGATCATTTGTGAGGAGTTTAAAACATTGTCTTTGATTTGTATTTTGCATTTATAGCTTGATTAATGTTGTGTGTATTTGCCTTGAGGATGAAAAGTAGTTCAATCTGGTACAATGTTTTTGTGCATGGTTACTGACAAATAAATAATAATTTTAGATGCTAACTAAATTAAAAGAACTAACCTAAAGATAATTACATAGGGAGATTTGACCAGTTTATCTCTGTGTTTACTACAGTGCTGGTGAAGGGTCAGGTCACCACCAAGTATTACCGCTTGCTATCAAAGCATGGAGGTTGGGTATGGGTGCAGAGTTACGCCACCATTGTCCACAACAGCCGTTCTTCCAGACCTCACTGTATTGTCAGTGTGAACTACGTCCTCACGTGAGTCAGCAGCCTCCTTCTAAAATGTAAAACCTGCATGAAACAATGCAGACTATATACCTGTTTTATTGTACACAGTGACATTGAAAGCAAGGAACTACAGTTATCTGAAGATCAGAGTCAAGTCACTAAGTGTGGTGTAAGTCTCACTTCCTCTCAGGACCACAGCAGACAATTCAGAACCAAAGCAGTCAAGATGAAGACCAAACTAAGAGAAGCTCCCTATCTTGAGGTAGGACTTCCACGTGACCTAGTAATTATTAAGATTCCAGAGAAATATAGAAACAAATGAAATATTTCCTACCTTTCTTATAGCAAAAAATGATATATCAGTTTCATTACAGAAATATTAATATTGCAAACTACAAAACTAGGGAAACTGTGTTTGTGTGAGCCACCATACCAACTTTAGTTTTAAATCACTTTAAAACAACCAGAAAGGACCAAAGTGGTGTACAGTAGAATAAATATAAGACACAGTAAAAAAACACAAAACAATAACAACACATATTTGCTCATACAAGCGTAAAAATAGAACATCCATACATCTTTCACTTATCGGGTGGCGGGGGCAGCAGC